AGGCTGACAACTCAGTGGGGTGGGAACACACTGGCTTTCCCACGTCTCCACTGCACTTCGGACTTTTCATCAGCTTACAAGGGTGGTGTCTTCTCTTTCTTGCCCCTCTCCTAAGAAGGAGCCCTAGTAAGAATTGTTTAATATCAGCCCTTAGAAGAAGCTGACAGTTTTCTCCATTTGCTCTGAAGTTCTTACTAATCCCAAGAGCAATGATGAGTTTTCTCTGGAATTCCCAATATTAGTTACAGAAGCAACAACTCTCAGAACAATTCATGTATCAATGATTTAGTCAGTGAGAACTTTCTGGTTAGGATAATACCAATGACTTTGTCTAGATATTCATGATTCTTATCCTTGATTTCCAGTGCTCCCCCAGAGTATCATTTTATGTTAGCCAGTTTTTCAATAGGTGTTGATATCAGAAGTGGAGGGTCATGACTTAAAGATACGGGAATATAAGCAGTATGGACACTGGACAAAATCCAAACATCAAAAATACATTTTTTTTCTAGTAATACAGAATTGCAGTATTTATTCAACAAATAATTACTGAGCACCCATCTTCTGCTATGTACTTTCTAGCTGTTGTGAATGTCAGTGAACAGAACAAACAAAAATCTCACCTGATGTAAATGACGAGTTGATGGGTGCTGATGAGTTGATGGGTAGAGCACACCAACATGGCACAAGTATACATATGTAACAAACCTGCACGTTATGCACATGTACCCTAGAACTTAAAGTATAATTTAAAAAAAAATCTCTGCCTTTATCAGGTTTGTATTTTATTAGGTTTCAATAAGCATAAAAATAAGTAAATTATATAGTGGGTTAAAAGGTAATAAATGCTATGGAATAAAAAGAAGAGCAGAGTAAGGGCCTAGGAGTATGTATGTGTGGGATCAGGTCACAGCGTTATACACAGTGGGCAGAGTGGGCTTGATTTCCAAGAAAACACCCAAATATGCTTTGATAGAGCAGGCACCTTATCACCTTAATGTAATAATAATAGCAGAAATCTTTTTTTTAATGCCTAGTGTATGTTAATTCTGTTCTAGGTGCCTTAAAATGTTATTTCTAATTCTTACAACAATCCTGTAAATTAGGTCATGTTGTTTCATCTTTTGGCTAGGGAAATTAACTGGGGGGGCCCAAGATTACATACCAAATAAGTGGCTGAGCAGGGATTTGAATTTTGGTAGCTCATATTCCAATGCACATGGTCTTTCTACCATACCAGTGTTTCCCAAGATATGGTTTCCAAAGGTGTGGTTAGGAAACTACCAGAACTCTGTGGAGATCTTCACTAGAAAGTGCAGATTTCTGGGCCCCATCCCAGTGCTGCTCAATCTGACTCTCTGGAGTGCATCCTAGGAATCTGAATGTCTAAGTTTCCTTGCAACTCTGCTGCACACTCAAGTTTGAGAACCACCATTATAATCTACTGCCTTCGTATTTTGATACCTGTGGTCATGATATCTGCTATTATGATCTATTTCCAGCTCAAGGATTTCCAAACCAGTACCTGAAAAGCAAACAACCAATGCAAAAGACTGTCCTAGCCAGACTCTTAAATTGTGTGTCAACCTCTGCATCTAGGTGCCTCTTCTGTATTACAGGATGAAGCCAGGTTCTTTTCGGCCCTTTTCCATTAACTCAGAGAGTGGCCACTTGAAAGAGGCAGTCTCAGCATCAGGAAATGAAGGACGTTAGAACACTCAGAACAAATTTTGGGTCCCTGCCAGGCCTCTGTGAGCTTCTATAGCCCTTCCACCAGTTACTTTATGGAATCACTGCCTCCAGGTCTGTTCTGCCTTCCAGGACAAGCTCACAGCTACCTTTCCTAACAAGTCTTCCTTTCTAATGCTAATAGAAGTGACACCTCCCTTTCCGAGCTCCTAAACCCAAGGACTGTGAAACTGCACAATAACTAACTACTTTTAACCATCAGGCCCTGACTAGCTTCATCCTTCTTTGTTTGGAATTATAATAATTCTGAAAACTTCTTTAAAAAGCCAAACAAAACAAAACAAAATAGCTATATACACGATTACATTTTTGTCCACCCATGCAGATCAGCTTTGCTGACCAACCACCAGCCTTGGTGTAGCCAACTAGTTTCTGAACTGCCAATATGCCAAGAGAATCCAAAATGTGATGAGATTAATGTTCTTCTGTGCTTTAAAAAAGGAAGGAAGGGAAGTCAGTGCTAGGGCATAGAACCATGCAGATTTTAGAACCAGAAGGGATCTTAGCTATTATTCATTCAAATCTAGTATTTGATAACTAAAGAAATAGAAACAGAGGAAGATGAGGTCATGTAGCCAATATATAACAGGGACAGGACGATAGTAAATTTTCTGGTTCCAGAGTCAGTTTCTTTTCATAGACCAAGGCTTGAGATATTTGTGTCCCTCTTCCTCCCACTGCACTGTTATTTTTCTGAATATATGATTACTATAATCCTTCTATAGAGATCAAGAATGATTATATTAATGGTTAACTTACTCCAAGAAAGGTATCCTTAATTTCTCCATGCCCAAATCTTTTCATACGTAAAAGGAGTAAGGCTCGGTAATATGGAAATCATATGTCACAGAACAACCATTGAGTCATTCATTAATTCAACCAATATTTATTGTGTTCCTACCATGTCCCAGGCACAGGGGTAATGCAGTAAAGAAAGTACTACAGATAGAAATGGACCCAAAAAATCATCCTGTCATGTAGTTTACATTCCTAGGGAGCAGGGAACATAAAACGAGAAATTTGTAAAACCCAGTGTTAACAGTGGTGAGTGCTAAGGGGAAAAAGCAGGGAAAGGAAATAGGGAGTGATGATGTGTGTGTGTGTGTATGTGTGCGATGGCGGGTGGAGGTGCATTTTAGACAAGGTGGCCAGGAAAGGCCCTATGAGAAGTAAAGATTGTAACTGGAGACCAAAAATATGAGAGAATGTCGACATCAATCCCTACAGAGAATGGCAAACAAAGATCAGATTTGGGAAAAGCTGGAAAAGGTAGAATACTGATGTTTTTATACTGTTGTTAGTAATTCAGGTGGCAGGAAATGGAAAGAAAAGGTATGACACAATTAAAATGGCAGCAGCTGTATTTTCAAAGAAGCCAGGAAAAGTTTTGTTGGTATCTGAGTTGAAAAGAAATGCTCGATGATATGTGGTTTCATATAAAGGAGAATTTTGCTTAGATAATAGAATTAAGTTTGATGAGAAGTATTTTGTTAAAAAAAATCCAGAGAACATGAAGTAATGCCAAGACTACTTGGCAAGATGATATGTGACTTAAACTTGATGAAAATGTTGAAAAGTTCCGATATTTGATTCATCCAAATATGTAGTTATGAGGATTTAGGCTGAAGTGTAAATTTTATATAGAATCAATTATTTATTCAACATTTTTTGAGAGCTTAGCATATGCAACCCAGGGGCAATGCTTCAAAGACACAAACAGGAGATGTCCTTCTACCTTAGTGAACTTTTCATTTGCTCTTCCTCCTGGGCATCCAACCAGGATGCATTTCCAAGCCTCCCTTGAAGTTAAGTGTGGCTTGTGCATAAGTTCTGGCCAATGAAATTTGAGTGGACAAGATGGATGACCTTTCTGGGGTTGCCTGTAAAACCCTAAAAAATGTCAGAGCCTCGAAATACAAGGAGCTGGGATTCCTAAATCACCACCTGGAAGGTTGTCCACCTAACACCTGATTAAACTTTATGTCAAGGTGATATTTATTTCTGTGTTAAAGTACTGAGATTTGAGGCAGCACGTGTTACCCAACTAATATAATTATTAATTAACACTTGCATAAACTGCTACAGTTTTCACAATACTTTCACATATCAAATGATTCTGGTCACCACCCTGAGAATTACATCATCTTTTTGTTTTTCCCATTTCTAAAGCTAGAGTTGATGTTTAATGAGTATTGAATTACTTCGTTACAATCATGTAGGTAAGACACAGAGGGCAAATATTCTAAACCACTGGGTCTCAAATTTACAAAAAATAATTGGTATAAGACAAGCATGGACATAAATCTAATGCAAAGCACTTGATAAGTGTAGACAAATTACTAAAGAAATTTAAAAGAAGTAACTAGAATTCTTGGTTGAAGGAGCCACAAAAGGCTCTAGTGGAAAAGGCAGACTTTATAGCATTTGCAAATTGACAAGAGAAATGGGAGAAAAAACATGAAGAAGGTTCCTGTAAATTTTGACATGCAATATTAGTGGTGAACAGAAATAGAAGAGAGTTGGCATTTGTTTTAATGTTTCAAGGGAAGTTGTAGCAAGCAATGCAGTTTGATGAAGGAAAACAGGAACTGGTAATTCAATACAAATCAAAAAAATATTTATTGAGTGCCTGCCAGATGGAGGGCTTTCCAAAAGTGTACAGAGGATATGGAGAGGAGATAACAAGGGTGCAGTCCTTGTTTTAAATGCATTTATACTCTACTAGGGGAAATGGTCATAAACAACTATACACAATGTTGGGTAAGATAAACATCAGTAAGGACAGTAATGGAGTTCAGGAGACAGAGAAGTGGCAGGGGAATGACGAAGGACAGGTGAAGCTTCATGTAGGAGGTAAAATGTCAAGATTGACCTTGGAGGAGGTGAAACCACTGAGGATGCTTATGAATACATGAATTCATGAGGGACACAGAATTCCATAAAGAAGGGTTTTATTAACATCTTGAGCAAGGACACTGCTTTATAATTAAATGACTCCAAAATGTGACCATGGTTTAGAGGACAACAAAATGAAAATTATAATTTGGTATGTTTGTTTAAACATGGAATCACAAACTCGAAATGACATCATAGTTGTGCAAATTTCTACTTCTGCTGAAACTGCCTGACTTCCAATGAATTCAGTAAGCAGCACTGCACCCCAGAGGGTGGTCTATTAGAATTTCATCCTGCCTCCAGAGGCAACCAATAGGCAGTTTGCTACGATGTCTTGCCACAGAAGGGCCACCTACCATGAACAGGGCTTCATAATTTTCAATCATCTTTTGCACCACAGCGATGATGGCTGTGCTCTCCTCAGCCCGGGCTGAACTCTGGACTGAGAATTCTTTGTCTGATGACTTCTGCTTGTGCAGCAGGTTGGGTCCAAATATGGTGGCTAAGTTTAGAGATGTCATTTTATTCCCAGTGACCTATGAGAGAACAGAACACAAGGACTGTTGTTATGTTTGCCCTTCAAAATACTGGGTGATTCAGTAATCAAGGAAACCTTTTACTATCCATTTGTTTTTATCCTTCAAGGATACCATCATCTCTATTAGAATCCATGGAGGGCACCATGATTTTCCTTTTGCTTTCATATCTTGGATTGAAGCTCATAGTTCAATGATCATCTCAATAGCATATTGAATAAAAATTTGCAACTCTAAGTCGTTTATTGTAAAATGGGTACTATATAAAATTTCTATCCTGTTTGCACTTAAGAAATATTGACACCCATCCATCTATCTATTCATTTCTCCATCCATCCCTTCATTCATCAATCCATAATCTCACCACTGATCCATCCACTCAGCACCTATCAGAGGCTGGGCATTTTTCATATATTTTAATTATTTTAAAACTTTTCCAACCATGATTACAACACAGTCCTTATTTTAAAGGGCTCTCATTCTAGGGAGGAAATAAGCCTATCAATTACAGGTAATGAGTACAAAGTATAAAGCTCTCAACTCCGAAGGCCCCAGGGTCACTACCACAGAGGCAGAAGCATTTGCACAAACTCTCAAAAGAAGAATAGAGTTTGCCAGGCTGAAAAGCAAAGGATCTTGGGTAGGGGGTAACTTTACAATGGAGAAAGCACCACACATGCAAAGACAGAAACATCTAAAATATGTCATGGAGCCCCAGGAAGCTCAGTGTGGTAGGGAGTTCTGCAGGAAAGACAGGCAAGGGCCAGGTGAGATGATCTTCGTGTGTCAGACCAAGGAATTCAAATTGTGATCTAAGGGCAAGAGGATTCTGAACAGAGTAGAATGGAAATGGAATCTGCATTTCAGGAAGAGCAATCTATGGAACAGGGGATGGGGGATGCAAGAAAGTAGGACTACCTGGGACATACCACAACAGTCTAGGCCACAGCAGCTAGTATCTGAACTAGGAAGGAAGAAGTAGGGATGAAGAGCAGCTTCCAGAGTTATGGAGGGGGTGAAGGGTGAGGAGGATAATGCAGAGGGTAAGGATCTTGTGTTTAAACAAATGAAAAAATGGAAGGACAGTTAAGTGAGGAACATGAAGGGCTGACAAGGGGTTCCTGGAGACTCCAGCACCCTTAAGGAGCAGCTGATGAAGGAGGCCAAGAATGGTTGAGAAGTTAGAAAAAAAGAAACCTCTGTCCAAGAAGAAATAACAGGGGTGTTTCAAGTGAGTTATCAACTGTGGCAGAGGGTCATCGAGATGTGACCCTTCCCTCCAGAATGGACTCTCTGATGGTTCTGATGTCCCAGCTAAGAGTCATGTCAGTGGTGTGGCAGGAATGAGCCACAGTTGCAGAAGTGGAAACAGTGAATGTAGACACTTTCTTCAAAAGATATCACAGAGAAGGAGGAAGAAGAAATATAGGAGGAGCTAAAGGGGAGTACAGGGTGAAGGAAGGGAACTATGTTTTAGCTTGAAGTATAAAAAATTACTCATATTCAATATATTAATAATTAGAAAGTGCAGGTAAGCAAAAGGAAAAAAAATGCCCATAATTTCACCACTGCCAAGAATCAGCCATTCCAATGCCTTCCTGTGCACATATATACATGTATACCTGATATTTTCTTCTTTAAAACTGGGATCACATCCATATATTATTTTGTAATTTGCTTACTGTCTCTTAACAGTGTGTTACAATAATCTTTCCACTACGAAAATATCCTGTCTTCAGTCTTCATTGGCCCCTAGAATCCCACTGCATGAATAAACCATGATGTGTTTTAACCACAGTCAACTGATAGGCATTGATGTCGTCTTGAATTTTGTTATTATAAGCAATGGTACAAAAAATACCCTTGATAAGACATTTTGTGAGCGTGGGTCAGCACTTTTTAGGAGTAAATTCCTACAGGTTGACTTGTTGTAATAAGGAATATGAACATTTTTAAAGGTTTGGGAATTTTTCTACTTGTCTCTTTTTTCAGGTGAATGGGAGAGTCTGAGTAAGTTTCTCTAGGCTAGGGTTTCTCTACCTTGGCACTAGTGACATGTAAGGCCAGATCATTCTTTGCTGTAGGGGCTGTCCTGTGCATCACAGGATGTGGAACAGCACCCCTGGCCTCAGCCCACTAGATGCCAGGAGCCACCCCTACCCTCAACCTACAGTTGTGACAACCAGAATTATCTCTAGACATGGTCGCATGTCCCTTGTGGGGTAAAATTGCTCCTGGTTGAGAACCACTGGTCTGCATGAATTTTTATTTATCTTGCCAATATCAATTGAGTGTCAGGATCAGTATGGGAACTGTGTCTGCTTGGTGGGGATCTTTTGCCTGGGAAGATCTACACAGCCTTTGAGAAGCACCTGGGTGCCCAGCATAGAATTCAGGAGTCCTGATGAACAGCTGAAACAAAGCCCTCTGAGCCCCACTCTCATCCTGTGGAGTCACGAGTTGGTGGCTGCCCTGCCCTACAATCCCAGCGTGGTACACGAGTTGTATTATTTTTAGAAGGCAAGGCTGTTTTTAGGTGAATGATTGGCCACCAAGGCTTATTATTTCATGTGATAAACCCAATTTGAAAGAAAGTACCCTTTATGTAGGATCGTTCAATCATTTTTCTTTGTTTTATTTCATTGATAAGTTTTGTATTTCATTGATAAGTTTTCATTTTATTTTTCATTTCTTTTCCTGAAAATTCATGGTTAAGGTGAAAATCAAATACATGTCATTTTCAGATTCCTCCCTTTAGAACTGAGAAGTATTTGGAGTGTTTCCCCTTACCCCTTTAAAGTCATATTAGGGTTTTCTCATTTTTTAAAAAAAACATTAACAAATGGAAGATTTTGTTTTCTTTTAAAAGAATGTTTCATACAAGAACGATCTAGAGCTCTGTTTCTGCTCTTTCCTTCTCCTGTTGCTATTCTGGGAATGGAATACAACCCATCTGTAAAACTGCACACAGATTCCAGCTGCAGACCAAGCTGCTTGGGGTTTGTTAACACTTTTGGGGTTTATTGTGTTTTATTGTTTTGTAACATGGAAAGGAGACTTGCTCCCAGGCAACATCCACCTTTTCTCCATGTGTTTCAGCAGATATTTTTATATATACTATATGGTTGTAGCTAGGTAATACAATGTACCCTCGAGCCAGGCCATTACTTCATTTTTTTAATTAGCTAGCAATTCAAGAAAACTTTTATCTTCACTAAATGAACATCCTAGGTTATTTCTAAACTTCATATGAATAGCTCATATCTGTTAAAAGTCTAGTATGTATAGGTACCAGGCTAGGGGCTTTCCACTGGCCATTGCAATTCTTTCTCACTATAAGCTTAAGAAGCAGCTGCTGCTGTTGTCCCTATTTTATAGACAAGGGAAGTGATGCCCAAAGCTCAGAGCCAGGAGATGGTATAGCAAGAAGCGAAGCTGGTGGCCCCACTCTAGGCAGCCCTGCCCTCTTCATCCCATTGCTACATCTCTTCCCGTTTCCTGTTGCTTGGCAGACCCAGCCATGGCATGGTGAAATGGGAAAACGAGCTTTAAAACAGGGCTGGATGAGGGTGAGGGGAGACACAGGTCTTGCTAAGTTTCAAAGCCAACCTACCATTTCCTAGAGGCATGTACCTCCTCAAAGATCAGTAATCATGGCCCTACAATGGTATTTGTAACTTCTTTTTTGCCTCATAGACCCTTTGAGAACTCAATGCCAGCTATGGACTCTCACCAAACAACTGCATATTCACACCACATTTTCCATGCAGTGCCAGGGGGTTCTTGAACTCTGAAAAACCACTGCTCAGAAGGTTTCAATTTTGTTCCTGCTATATTCTTTCTTGAAGAAATGCAATGTTTCTTACACTTGGGAATTTCTCTTTTCCCTAAGGAGCAAAGCAAATAGCAAACTAAACAAAATAGAAGAAAACAAAACAAACACAAGATAGCAAAACACCACAATTCAATAAAATATTGCTATTTTTTCCCAAAAAAGCACTGATTGACTGGTCAACAATTTTTCTCATGCCCTTCTTTTAGACATCTTTAAGACCTCACCAGTGAATGATGCATTGAATTTTAAGCACATATCAAAGAGGAAATATTATGTTCATTTTGTAGATGAGGAAGCTAAGACCATCCCCCATCCCAACTCTGTTTTCCTTCCTCTTCCTCTCTTTCATAAAGACAAGTTATGCAGAAAGGTTCTGGCAGAACCTGTGTGAGCTTTCAAGCTTCTTGACAATCTGCTTCAGGTTTCATCTATGTTGCAATCCCCCCAAACAACACCCTAACAAATAGATGATACACACTAAAAAATAGGTAAGAGAAGAAGTTGAAAAATGTTGGGTTTTGACCATATTTTACAGTTTGATATTTAGCTTTACTCCAGTCTGCCCATTCAATATTCTCTACCTGCTCATGCCAAATCGACTAAAAAATAATAACTCTTCTCTTGATCCTCTCCCACTACCCATGACTTCTAACAGAAGAGGTTTGGCTAACTCCCATCCCAATGCTGTGCTTATGTGGCCCATGTACTCAATCCCTACGCCCCCTTTGATATGCATCTTAAATTCAACCTCCTCCTTGAAGTCATTCCTAACTTTTCTGGCCCATGCTCATCACTTCTCTGAATGTCTGCAGTGACTCTGCAGTGCATTCCCTAATTCTGTATTTACCTTGTGTCCTCACCTCCTCCACCTCTTAGATGCCATTGTATCCTGAGGCCAGTCATTAGAAAATCTCTGAGCAATAGTCACTGGTTTAAAGGAACTTAGGGTAGATGCTCAGGACATGCATGGTTCAAATCCCAAGGCCATTCTTTTATATTTATTTATTTTTGAGATGGAGTCTCGCTCTGTTGCTCAGGCTGGAATGCAGTGGCATGATCTCGGCTCACTGCAAGTTCCGCCTCCCGGGTTCACGCCATTCTCCTGCCTCAGCCTCCTGAGTAGCTGGGACTAGAGGCGCCCACCACCACGCCCAGCTAATTTTTTTTTTTTTTTTGTATTTTTTTTAGTAGAGATGGGGGTTTCACCGTGTTAGCCAGGATGGTCTCGATCTCCTGACCTCGTGATCTGCCCACCTCGGCCTCCCAGAGTGCTGGGATTACAGGTGTGAGCTACCGCGCCTGGCCCCACCATCAAGGCTGTTCTTACATGGAAACGTTTATAATAGGAATTACTGTTGTCCATATTACTATTGATACAAAAGCCTCCTAACTCACTCTTCCCTTGTCTCTAGCCAATCTACAACATGGATTATATCACCCATTAGTTGAATCCTTCCAAGGATTCACAGCTTAAAAGAATCAACCGTCTGCCCTGCACAGAGGCATTCAGCACTTATGAACATGGCCCAATTTCCCACTGTCTCCCTCAGTACTTCATTGCTCCGTAGCCTTTACTATAGTTCACAATGGCTGTGAGAGCTGCCTGCTCTCCAGTCACTGCTAACGATTTCACGGAAGCAATGCTTTCCTTATATTTATCCTGCTGCTTTAATCTTTGGCTATTAGTCTTTCATTTTGATGCAATGTTTAGGTCAAGAGTGTCTAGAAACCTTTGTAAACCCTGGCTTCCTTCTACAACTTCACCATCACCAGGATAATTTCATATTCCTTACAGTAAACTAGGTCTCTCAACCACTCTTCAAGTCTGGTTGAAGAATTTTCATTCCTCAAGTTCAGATGAGGAGACCCAGGTATAGGAAAGTTAATAGATTTTCCCGACAACACATGGTCAGTGAATTAAAGAGCTATCAAGCACTCTCAACCAGGGGTGATTTTGAACCCTTCCCCTCAGGGAAGACTTGGAAATGTTTGGAGATATTTTTGGTTGTCACAACTTGGTGGGAGAGGATATGTACTACTACTGGCATCTACTGGGTAGAGGCCGGGGATGCTGCTAAACATCCTACAATGCACAGGACAGCCCCATGACAAAGAATTCCTAGCTCCAAATATCAATTGTGCAGAGGCTGAGAAACCCTGACCTAGACCCCAGTACAGTTTTTTTTTCTTATAATTCCTATTCTGTTAGACTGGCTCAGGTTCTATACACAGCTTGGACTTTGCTAGTAAGACTTTTTCTTTTCTCTTAGTTGTCTCAGGTTCTATACACAGCTTGGACTTTGCTAGTAAGGGGACCAACCAGACCCATTAACCAGTATAATGACATTGCCCTTCTTCAAGATCTTTTTCTATCATCCACTGGGATACGGTCCTAATAACTATGCAAATCTACAGTGACTATGGAGTCCATGGCACCTCCCCTAGAGTTGTGAAATGCACTAATATGCCACTTGTACAACCTTAAGTGGAAGCTCTCTGTGGGTTGCTACGTAAGTTACTTAGCCCCCCGGCCCTAAGTTTTCACTTCTGTAACATGGAGACAGTGATCTCTCTCTTGCCTGTTAAGAGGATTTGTGTGTGTGTGTGTGTGTGTGTGTGTGTATCCCCTAGCACAAAGCCAGCTCATGGAAGGAGAGACATAAATTGTAGCTAATATTCCAGCATACTGTTTCATTTACACCTATCCAAGAATATTTTCTTCTTTTTGGCATAGGCAAGGGAGATTTGTTCAGCATTTGAATGGAAAGAATGTCTGAAAATGATTCTAAAAGGGCAATAATGAGTTCAATTGGACATTTTGCTTTCTTCAATGCCTTCTTAATTACCTGAGACCCAATTTTCTCCTTCTCACATAGTACTTAAGAAATGTCAGAGAAGTAACTGAAGTACCTTTAAACACAGAGCTCTGCTTTCCCCAAGCAATTAGGCAGATAATGCTTACAGCTTCTGTTATAACTGTAGTTGATAAAGGCTGGCATCCAAATGAGTAATAAAACTACTTAACAATTATGAGAATTATAGTATGCCCATCAAAGAGCTGTGTATGCTGAAATAAGGTGTCAGTGCCATATTATGAAACCTGAAGCCATCTGGGGCTTCACTAATTATAACTGCTATAGAGATAAATGGCTAAGTCAGGGGAGTTCCATTCTCACACCCATAAGGAGGGGGACAAGAAGAAATGCAGAATTGCCTTTCTGGATTAGAGTGAAAAAATTATATATAACCACGTTATTTATTTATTTATTTAGTTATTTTTTATTATACTTTAAGTTCTAGGGTACATGTACACAACGTGCAGGTTTGTCACATATGTATACATGTGCCATGTTGGTGTGCTGCACCCATTAACTCATCATTTACATTAGGCATATCTCCTAATGTTATCCCTCCCCCCTCCCCCCACCCCATGACAGGCCCCGGTGTGTGATGTTCCCCTTCCTGTGTCCAAGTGTTCTCGTTATAACCACGTTCTTTGGGAAAGAAATTTGACAAACACAGAATTGAAGCCACAGTGCAGCTGAGCTTTGTTTTACAAGGATTTACAAAAAAGTTCCTGTGGTTAAGTAAGTTTGGAATGCCTCTGGCCCCTTGTTAATTTACAGTGCATGTTAGCTTATTAAAGAGTCTAAAATCTCCTGAGGCATCCGAGGTCAGGGAGAGGTATAACTGCGTGGTATCAAAGAGGGAAGGGGGTGTCTCTTGTTAAGGTGAAGATTAAATAGGTTGGCTATTAGTAAGCAACTTAAAATTGAAGCCAGCATCTCATTTCTCCGAGGGTGAAACAACAAAAAAAAATCTTGAAATACGAGTGTAACCAAAGAGAACCAGAACCCAAGATCTTAGATTTGGTGGCGGGGCACACTGGGGCCTGACTGGGGATCAGATACAACAAGAACATTTCTAAAGAGTCTGTGGGACTATGTACAACCTGCTTTGAGCAGTTGATACCATATGACATCAAGACACAATGGCAATGGTCAGCAGATGAGACCTAGTTTCCTCCACACCTGGTTTGGAAGCAGGACTGACCGTCCCTTGCATTGAGCAAGTCCCTGTTTTTGGGGGAAGGTTTAAGAAAGGAAAGGATCCCTCAAAAGGGAGATACTAGACTTCTTGCTCTTAGTACAGATGGGAGCTCCCGGGACAAACTGGAAGAATAAAGAGGTGACATCATATTTGGGCTTCAAGTTATAGCAGCAGGTAAATCAATTACAAGGATAACAATCTCCTCCCACCCCCATCATTCTACTTTTACATGGTTGCAAGCACTTCTGTAGTGCATTGTTTTTCTTCTTTACAAATTGAAGTCCAGTCTTGAGTAAAGCCTCATCATGGAAAATGACAGCCTCATTTGGAAGTATACTTGAAACTTATAAGGAGACTCATGGCCCATGCACTCTTAGGAACTGTCCCTCCAGAGAAGGCCCTGCATTAGTCTCTTCCTACAGAGACAGCTAGGTTGGAGAAGGGGAGATGTCATTACCTCCAGGCAAAATGTTTGGCCATTTTGGTGGTATGTCCTTTTAAAATAGGGGAGAGGAAGAGTCACAGTGTCTATGGCAGCAAAGGCGTCTTACCTCTTGCCCGTCTTTGCTGATGTTGTCATCGGCATGCCTGGCAACGATGGAGAGGAACTGTAGGAGGCGGTGGAGGGTGTCACAATTGCAGGGAGGTAGAAGGTATATGAGGAGCTGCAAGGTGCCCAGCTGTTCCTCTGGCTCCAATACTAAGCAAGGCAAAAAGAGGTACTCAAATAAAAGGGGAGCCCATACCATTCAGGCACAGAGGAAAGGCCTCCTCTCAATTGTCTTAAGAAAGGGATTATCAAGGCAAGTCCCATTTCATGCCTTCACTCATTTGCCCATTGCTTTAGCAATTTACCAGCAAGATTCTATGAAATATATAAAGCCAAATTAGACCTGGAGAAGTGTAATATCTAGAAAAATAACTGTAATCCAGGTTAAAATAAAAGGTAACTCAATTTCCCTTACTTTCTTCTCCCCCCTTCCCTGGCATTACTCATCACCTAGTTTAAGGATTCCAGTCTTCCATTTTTGGTAAATATTTATTAACAATGGCTGAAAATTGGTGAACATTCTGAAATTTGAGTTTATAATGAATTTAAGGCTCTTTTCTGTTGAGCAATTCACAAGAGACAGATATTTTGTTGGCAATAACCATGATACAGCAAAGACAATGTATTCTCTCTCTGTTGTGATCCTATTGGAATTGTAGCATTGGAGGAAGAAATGTATGGAGGCTGACCCAGGTTTGGCCTATCTCTCCTCTACCTCCTCCTTTTTTTTCTTCTTCATAGGATCTGTAGCTACAGCCCAGAAGCAGCTATGTTGAAAACCCTGGCACTGGGCTATGACATCTTGCTTCCCCTGGAATGTTGCTTTCCTCCTTTCTCACTCTGGGTTCCCATAGTTCCCTCCTTCTTCGCACTAGAAACACAAACTCATTTTTAGGCACAGACTCAATGTGAACTCTTGTTGGTACTCTAAGCACTAACTCATAGCACTTTCTACTTTTCTTGGGTCATTTGAAAGTATCTCAAATTCTTCTTGGTTATTTCCATTTGTTTTATTGCAACTTTCTTCTTGCTAATTATTCCCAGGGTAAATCTGAGAAATTCCCCCAAATAGCTCACTCTTTAGAGATTGATAAATAAGGACAAAAAATTATCAGGAAACATATGCATAAAGTTATGATGAATGAGTTGGACATCTTAGTATTCCAGGGCCACTTTCCCACATATGACTGTATTACGCACAGAGAGTGTTGATGAAAGCTGTGTACAGCTCCCTGGTGAGAAGGGGGTCCGGCATGTCCCTCAGGAACTCTTTGAGCAAGGCTGCCACATCATGAACACTGTGCTCCTCCTCCAGAGAGACATCAATCCCACGGTCAAATTCCTCACGTAACTGGAAAAACAACGGTTCGAGTGGCAGTCACGTAACACCATACCTCAATGTGCAGTGCCCAGCAAAAGAAGTGCTGTGACATGTAGTATCTGGAGTTAAGTCTGCACAGACCCCAAGAAGGAGAAGCAAACAACATCCTCACCTTGATCTGCTGAGTTTACACAGTCCAGTTACGAATATATATATATGTGTATATGTGTATATATGTGCATATGTGTATATATGTATATATATATAAAAGCACTAAATAAAACTATCTGTGGATTTATTGTTAATGATGTATGCAGAATGGCTTAGTAATGACAAGCAGGTTAGGAGGAACACCTAAGAGGTGGAAGACAATTTAGGTCAACTATAAATGTGGGAGGGAGGAATTAATCTATTACACAGCGTTTCTGTGTGTCACCAATTCTGCCATGTTTGAATGTTGATATTTTACTGAATCACTCAACAAGAAAGCAAAGAGATTTTTTTTTCCTGCACAAATGAAATTAAGAGCCCTGATAAGAGATTTATGACTAAGACTTAAAAGATGATAATAACTAAATAAAAGCTGTCTTAGATTTGTCAAAGTAGTCTTATTAACAATTACCAGAAGGATTTCCTGCCTTAATCATTATATTAGGTCTATTATCACTTACAGCAGCAAGAAAACACAGTGGCAAGAGAGTAATAACTCCACACCCTACTTTTATCTGTAGCATCTCAACTTTTCTTATGCATTGTTCTCTGCTGTAGAAATAATTATGTAAGTTCATAAACCTACACTATGCAACAAACTTCTCTAAGAGTTCATTTGTTTTTCAATCTTTCATCCATCCATTAATTCAACAAAGATTACTACACATTTCCTGTGTCAGACCCTGTTACAAGCCCACAAAATACACTAGTGAATAAAGAGGCAAAGTCCATCTAGAGAAACAAGGTGATAAGCAGGTAATCCCACAAATAATTCACTCTTAACATTGTGGTTAGTGATCTAAGGAAAAAGTGCAGGGTGCATAAGGGGTTATATAATAAAGTAAAATGATGAGTGAGTTAGGGCATATTTCATACTTGAAATCTACTTCTAAGTAAACACTGATTATATTTTTATTGGGTAATCCTTAAATACAACTCCATGCAAAGGTTTCCCCTTTAATGGATCCAGATATAACTGATGAGTAATTTCTGGCACTCGCTACCTGTCCACCTGATGAGAATGAATACCCATCACTGTCCTGAACTACTCATTGATTCCAGACAACACGCCATCAGCGTGTGTCTGGCAGCCAAAACAAAGAAGGCTTCCACTGGCACTCCTCCAACTTGTGATCATTCAAACACACCATGCTTCTTTTCCGACCATACATGCAGGCAGAAAGAATGGAACATGCAAAGAGCTTGGCCTATGAAGTTAATGGTGACTGGTTAAATTGTGTAATCTTGAATTATGTTTCTTAATCTCTCTGAGCCTTGACAGAAGTGGGTCAAAGAGGCTACTGTCACAGCTGGTTGGCAGATTCAATGAGATAATATTTGTAAAAATATTCTGCAATCCTGCACAGGTGAGAGGCCTATGAAATATTACCATACTATCTTCCTGCAAGTTCTGTTATGAAACATTAAATGTTGATCCATTTAATGTTGTTTCTTGTGTGACTATTAAGAATAAAAACCAACCAACCAATCAGAAAACATATTTCCATTGAAAGCCTTTTTTGTCTTGACAAAAAAAGATAGATGAAGTATTTATTTCAATTACTTTCAATAATATGAACAAATATCATTTCTTCAGCTTCTTCCAACTAAAATTTGTTTTCATTTGAATTCATTTTTGAGTTGCTGAGTTCCTTATTTCCTTCCATTGAAAACAACAGGAAGAAAATAATGCTTTAATTTTCCTTCACCAACAAATGAACTCTTTTCCCAAAGGATGGTTTGCCTTTTATGAAGCCATCATGAACACAAATACCTGCCTCATCACAGGAACCTATTGTTGAAGGTCTAATATCAAACTTCAGTTGCAGGAATGTTGCACAGGGCTGAAGGAAACAAAGGAGCACAGTCCCTATGTGAAAAGCAAACTGGGGGTCAATGGTTCTATGGAAACTTCATAAGAATTATTTATTTTTGATAAAGTAAAGCTATAAAAATAGCATCTTATGTGAAGGGAATGTTAATGGCATTTTTCATATCACATTTTAGTAAAAATGGGTGCTACATGCAATTTTTTTATCATTTATTGATTGGTCACTCTGAATTTCCTGCTTTTGCAATTTTCAATAAGATGTTTATAAATTAGTTTTGTTTGGCTGCACATGGCACAGATACATCCAGACGTTTTGCTTTCAAGTGTTTGATCCTAACTGTAACAACATTTCTGAGTTGTTGCCTTTTACCTCCTGGAATTCAATTATATTATAATAACTTGGAGGGTAAAAAAAAAAAAAAAAAAAAAGATGATCAAATGGAATTTGTATAAACTTGAACTTTGCAAAAGGTAATTCAACTGAAAGTCATGTGAAACAAAATATAGTCTTTACTTTTCACTTACTTGTCTCACTCTCTTTTTTGAGCTTCCAACTCGGAATATCCCCACCGTCTGGAGGCCTGCAAATAAGCAAACAAAATCAACAGTCTTGTTTTATGACTTGAGACTCTGGAGGAAATCAAAATAGAGAGCAGAATGCCAGCACAGTGCCATAACGTGCAGAGCAATAGTAACTTGACAGCATACAGTAACACTTCTTTCATCTCACACTACTTCTATTTTCCAGATACTTAAAGGTCAGCCCTTTACGCACCAGAATTTTACGTTAAATGTTTCTGATCAAATATTTTTCATGTGATATTTTATATTTCTAATCTTCTCCTTATCAGAGAAAATGAGCTTTTTTTCATTATTCAGAATTATTACCTAAACACACATTTTATAGGGATTCTAGCTCTTTACCAATTTCTAAAAGATATTTCTCGTTTGTCTGATCATAATTAAAGTGTGCTTCTTAAAGAAAATCTGGAAAATGCAGAAAAATGTAAAAATAATATACTTTTAGAAATACCTGATGTAGAAATAATCACTCTTTTCTTTTTCTCCTCCCTTCCTCCCTCCCTCCCTCCCTCTTTTCCTTCCTTCCTTCCTTCTTTTTTTTTTGAGAGAGGGTCTCACTTTGTTGTCCAGGCTGGAATACAGTGGCGTGATTATGGCTCACTGCAGCCTTGACCTCCTGGGCTCCAGTGATTCTCCCACCTTGGTGTCCAGAGTAGCTGGTACTACCAGCACATGCCTCCATGCCTCCATGCCTGACTAATTTTTGTATTTTTTGGAGAGACAGGGTTTTGCCATGCTGCCCAGGCTCAAGCTCAACTCCTGGGCTGAAGTGATCCACCTGCCTCGACATCCCAAATTGCTGAGATTACAGGTGTGAGTCACCGTGCCTAGCTAATCTTTCATTTTTTAAAATCCAGCCTTTTCTACATGAATGTAGGTATTTTTACATAGTTGAGATAACGCTGCATATATATATATATATATATATATATATATGAAATATCTATTGACAGAATGTTACTCCCTTCCCTCACTATCATGTCACATGAATTTTCACTCATGCTAGTAACAATTCCTTGGAAATGTCACTTAAAAGGGATAAAAGACTACCAGTTTGGTATAGTGTATATTGCTCAGGTGGTGGGTGCACCAAAATCTCACAAACCACCACTAAAGAACTTACTCGTGTAACCAAATACCACCTGTTCCCCCAAAATCTATGGAAATATAAAAAAGATGCAAAATATTCTATTGTATGAATGGGCCATAATTTACTCCATATTCCCCTCTGAATGGTGCACAGGTCCCCAAAATATACATGCTTATTTTGCTATTATAAATGACCCTATTGTGAACAACTCTGTGCACATGTTTTTGTTCACATTTCTGATTGCTTTTACTAGGATCATGTCCTAGATGTGAAAAATACAGTGTCAGTGCTGAGGTTGAGAAACTCAGTTCTAAAAAATTAGGTCTCTTAAAAACACAAGTAATTTCACTATAATATACTATAAATGTCAACAATAGTTCCTTAATGCATTAAATTTCCAGTCAACATCCACATAAGGGTCACACACTGTGATACAGTCGATGTGCCTTTTAGTCTCTTAATCTGTGTTTCCTCCCTCTGTTTCCCTTTTCCTTATAATTGGTTTGGTGAAGAAATCTCAGCTATTTCCTACTGTAGATCTTCATATTGTTTGGATTTGGACACTCCATGGTGTCATTTGTATGTTCTTCTCTCCCCTTTATTTTCTGTAAAGAGATAGCTAGAGCCAGAGATTACTCTGATTGCGGTGTGATTTTATAGGGCAAGAATACTTCACAAAAAGTATTGTGTACTTCCTTTGGGAGCATGAAGTGTCTGAATGGTTCTCCTTTTTCTATGCCGGTCATTAATCATTGCCATTGATGAGCATCGTGTATATTCTTTCACTGGTGGCTCATTTTATCTTCATTTGGGACAATCAATGATGAGAGTGATGGGATATTGGAGCTGCTAACAGCCATTTGAAGCCACATGAAGAGAGCTGGTCTGAGAGTAAAGCCAGCAGAGGACACTCATGACATCATTTGAATCCTGGATCCAGCTGTGCCTAAATCTAGATCAGTCTCCCAGTATATAAAGATTGTTGTTGTTATTTGGGGGAGGTCACTTTGCTTAATCTAGTTTTATCTGGGTTCCTTTCTCTTGCCACTGAAAAATTTATGACTAGTACAATATATAATTAAATCAGAAAGAATTGTATTTTTTAGATACAGAATTGGGGTCTTGCTATATTACCCTGGCTGGTCTCAAACTCCCAGGCTCAAGTGATCTTCTTGCCTTGGCCTCCCAAAGTGTTGGGATTACAGGCTTGAGCCACGGTGCTCAGCCTTAAATCTTTGTAACATTATTTCTTTACATCCAGAAACAAAGTAAACATCTCAATTTCTTTTAGTTCTGTTTTCTATCTCTTGGTAGAAAGAGAATAGTCCCACCTGTGTAGAAAATGTCCTTATGTGATATCATGCTGCTGTAGAAATTTCAATTATTCAGAAACCATGTGAAAATAAAAAAATACATGCAGCCAAAATTAAAATTACTGCGACCTGCTATTAAAGTTTTCTATTTCATACATAGAAGATTCATTCGGTTCATTCAGAGTCTATTTCTCTCTATATAATAATATATGCCAGGCACTATTCTAAGTACTGTATGCACATTAATTAATTGAATCATTGCACAACTTTTGAGGTGGGTACTTATGTTCATTTTGCAGATGAAGAAATATAATTCTGTATTTTATTTTAAATAGTGTGATTATCCTGTTTTCAAGCTCCCAAAGTGATAGAAGCAATAAATTAGGCAATTTCATTATTGTGCAAACATCATAGAGTGTACATACACAATCCTAGATGGTATAGCCTACTATACACCTAGGCTATATGGTAGAGCCTAGTGCTCCTACACTACTAACCTGTATAGCATGTGACCGTGCTGAATACTATAGGCAACTGTAACAAAATCTTAGGTATTTGTGTATCTAAATATAGAAAAGGTACAGTAAAAATACAGTATTATAACCTTATGCAATCCCCATTGCCTATGCAGTCCATCACTGAGGGAAATGTCATTATGTGGTGCATGACGGTGTGTGTGTGTTTGTGTGTAGAGAAAGAGACGTACGTTCAAGGTACATAGGTAATACACAGGCATGTGAAAGATAAGGTAAAAAAACATAAAAGAACCTACACTTAAAATTTTGTATAAACAAATTTATTAGGTCATCCATATGTTATCCTGTGATTTCCTTTATAATGAATTAAGAAATTGAGATATATCCTTAACAAATTTTAAATAAAGTTCCATTTTTATTAGAAGGAAACAGATGAGAATGTTAATAGTAGTTATGTCTATATGGTAGCCTCAGAATTTTCTTTGCTTTCACATTTACTTTATTACAATGAGCATATTATTTTTATAGTAAAAAAGTAATTAAACTTTTCCCATGTACATAACACACATGCTAACACTACAGCAAACAAATTTAGTTTATGAAAATGGCAGTTTAATAAGCCAGAAGTCTAAATTTCAGAAAAATTTTTAAAGAACTGTATATCATTCTTAAGTCAACTTAGTAACTGGAATTGAGTTGCAAAGGGTGACTTGGAGAAATTTTAAGTGGACAGCTTCCACAAAAATGCAAATGGCAATATATAAACCTGTTGTCAAAAATGATGTATTTTCTATTAAAAAAAACTGGGGAATCATCACTTAAGTTGAACTCTTACTTTTTAAAGGAACCCTTGTGAGTAACCTCCTAGGCTACTTTTATGTATAAACAATAAAAGTGGCTCTGGTCTGTTTGAAAGAGGTTCTAGTGACAAACCCAGCCCAACCGACCTGATCCTTCACTAAATTGCTTGGCCTCCAAAGTCACTTTTGAGGACTACTGGGAGCGAAGCAGTCTGAATATCATCAAGTTGATTCACCCCCTCCTCCAATCTTGTTTAGCCCCACAATCTCTTAAACAAACACTCACATCTGTATACTTTCACACAGGAAATTTCAGTTCAGAGCTTGATCAGATGAACACAGAATTGACATTGGGTACTTCAATGAATGATGCTTGAATAAATGAAAGTCCTTAGTACTTTAGACAGACAAGTCTACTTACCATGTTTTTCTAGATGCTGACAGCAGCTGTCCACCAGCCTAGGGACCTGTCTGTAAATAGGATTCAGACTGAGTTTCTTATCTCTGGCTTTTTCTTTTTTACTTTGAGCCTCAGCAGGCAAGGAAAGTTGTAAAGCTTCTAGTAGTCGAGACTGATTGTCATCAAGATCCGTGATAGAATCCACTGACATGGCACCCTGCAAGTGACACAGAGCTGTGAACATAAAGTACAGATAGCCAAAAAACCCAGCTGCCCCCAGATGCTAACCAATACATACTTTTGCTCATGACTCTTTATCACACTTGAAATAATATTGCTTGATTTCTTTAATTGTTCTGTTTGTACATTGAAAGAAAAAATATGCCTTTTGAAAAAGTTAGAAAACCTCTACAAGGTTTCCTCAAGCTAATAATGGCAGTTACAATTTCAACAATAGACAAAATTTTCCAAATGGAAGAACAAGCGATGGGAAACATATAATTAAAGTATTTTGGCCCAACCACTTCATTTCTTGAAACAAGAAAAAAATTACATACTCAATGAATGAAGGAGTCAGAGAAGTTTTGTAAATAAAAAACTCAACTATGGTTCTAGGAAGTAGAGTTTTAAAATATAATGATTCCATAAAACAGCCTGAGCTTAGTTTTCCTGAGAAACAGCACAAAGTGCTTTATTAGAGAGGTGGTCCTGGGAAACACCTATAGGGGAGGGGGAAAATGAGACAAGGAAGGAAAGGCAGCTGACGAAGGGAGCATTATCAAGTCTATTATCATTGTGGGCAACTGGAGTTCAATCTTTCTGGGGAGCTCTAGGAGACAGCTGTAGATCATGCACCTTAGAGCTATCCCTATGAAGTGAGAGAGCTGGGGTATTTATACACCAAGCCTCAGGAATCACTTCTTAAGGACAGCCTCTGGTGGGGGCAGAGAGATAATATTATCTCCTAAGTACTTACAGCCTGCCATTTGGATGGGCTGGGTGCCTCTGGCATCAGAGAAAGCCCTCAGCAAAGAAATAAGGTGTTGGCAGATGGAAGGTGAGCTGGCATGCTAGGAATGGTAAAGGGTCAGGGAAAGGGAGCAGGGAACCAATCGCATTTGCCACACCCATACTTGATGAAGCACTGAGAAAGCAGTTGGCTAGCCAGGCCTGGACAGAGGAGAGGGCATTTGGGAGAACAACTGCCTGAGCCCTACATTCCCAGAAAGCTAAAATTTAGAGTTTTAGTGTTATTGTTGTATGACAATACACAGTCTGAGACACAATGACAGAATTAGAAGAATAATTCCATCATGCAAATTCAGGCATTCCATAATTTTGTAATTTCTTCATTTTTAAACATAGTCAATACTGCAAAAACAGCAATGGATCAGGTCTCTCTCTACCTCGGACAAGCCCTGAATGTTAGGGGCTGATTGAAAAATGTGGGTTTTAAGTGGGAAGTGTCTGGAGTTTTAACTAGGGCAGTCTTCAACAGCTGGAGGTGGCAAAAATTTTGGGTCTCCACGTGACAGTGAAAAAAGGGAGAGAAGGTCAGGTGTGGTGGCTCATGCCTGTAAACCCAGCACTTTGGATCACTTGAGTTCGAAAGTTCAAGACCCGTCTGGGCAACACAGTGAGACCACATCTCTACTAAATAATAATAATAGCTAGGCGTGGTGGTGTGCATCTGTAGTCCCAGCTACTGGGGAGGCTGAGGCAGAAGGATCGCTTGAGCCCAGGAGATTGAAGCTGCAGTGAGCAGTGATCATGCCACTGCACTCCAGTCTGGGCAACAGAGCAAGACCCTGAGTCAAAAAATAAAAGATAAAAATAAAATGCAGATTTGTTTTTAAAAAGGGAGAGATCTTCCAGTGACCTGGAAGCTTTAGAGATGCTTATGAACCGACTCAGCCAATCACCAACCAGCTTGCCTGAACAATTCAAATAATAGCACAGTACCTAGAACATAGTACTTAACAACTGGTACCATATTGTTAGAGTATTTGAAAGAGGATATATAGAGGATTCTATGGTTCTGTTTGAGAAAAAGAAATGCTCCATTGATAAGGAAAAAGCTCATTGTTTAGGAAGACCCACCACCAATTCATTTGGCCAGACATGTTCTCAGACTGGTGATGAAGAAAGTATTAATAGCTAAAACACCGGGCCTTGCCCTCAAGCCTCACAGTCTAGTGGGCATGTATGGCAAGACTGACAGATTACAAGAGACCAGAATCAATGGTGATATTGTCGAATGTTTAGGAGAGCATGCAGCACAGATGTGACAAAGGAGGGACACCAACAGCTTCAAGAGGAGTCAGGACAAGGTCTGAGGCTATGCAAGGTGCCACATGCCCAGTGCACATTCTTCATTAATGGAGTTTGTTGACAGACACCTGAACACCAACTACATATCCAGTTTTCACATGAACAAAAAGTCAAAGAATAACTGTACATCTTCAGTTTTCCTAGCACTGGTGTCAGAGCAAATACTGGCCACCTTACCCTCCTCCTAGCCCGAGGAGCCGGTTCCGGGGTGTTTGGGGACGTTGACTCATTTGGTGTTTCTGAGGTTGAGCTGAGAGATGAGTTACTGCTTGAGAGTTCTTTGTTTTGTCTTTTATTTCCAAATGGGAGGAGGGAAGCCACAAAGTCAGATGCATCTTTCTGCTCATCCCTCTGCAAGTCCTGCTTGAGTTTATAGGCCCTGTCATTCGCAATGACTTGGGATAAGGGCATTCCAAATGCCTGCGGGATGAATTCTGGAATCAAAAAACAGACATTCACTTTCAGAGACTGACTGGACCAGTGAACACTCTCATTTATGTTTCAGACCTAAGTAAGGACAGACATGTTCAAAGGAATGTTTTCTGAAGAATTGACTCATCGATCAAAATAAAAAGGTGACATTTGTGTTAATCAGAATGGCCCAAGTTTCCATTTCAATAAAGAAAACTAGTATTTATAAACACACATCTTAGACATCTAGGTCTCTAGTTTTTCTCCATGTCTCAAGTCTATACATTCATTCAACAGGCATTTATTGATTGCGCACTACGTGCCACAACAAGCTAGGCAATGGGAAGCACAAAGCTTATAAAAGATACAATCCTTTCTCCTGAGGTGTTCAGAGTATGGGTTGGGGTGAAGAAGTGAATAATCAGAAATGCAAATCATGGTAACAGACTGACTATTAGGTGTTATAATAGAGAGATGCATGAAGCTAAGGCTGAAATTTAGTCAACTGAATACACTTTGAGGTTCCCAGCAAGAATAACCTGACAGGCAGAGGAGCAGCTTGGGAACTGCTTGGGAAGGAGTCTGCTCTGTTTTCGTTGTGTTCCTTATCCCCACATTCTATTTCCAGCCAGCTAGGTTGGGGCTGTCACTCTCGTGATCTACACTCAAGCCATTCTACTGGCCACATGCAGAGTGGACTCAGCCACTAAATATCTCGTGGGAGGCCCAGGAAACAATTTGTTAAATCCTTTAGTAAGGAGAATTTGGGGAAAGGGGCATAGTGCAGAAATCGATGGCTTTATTTGGAGACATACATAGATTTCCTTTCTGAATTTCTGTCATAAATCTGTTTGTATACACATACCTTGGATCCTTAGGGCCAGGAGTTTTATTGGCAATATTTTAGATTCATGCTGAAAGGCACTAATAATGTAATCAGATGTATTATTCTTTTTAGACTACAAATTAGGTCTCCTAGCAGCAGTAAGTTGGAATCTAACCTCTCCATTGTTTTTAGAAGCCCTATGAATGAAACTAAAATGATCAAGGGAAAATAATTCTAAGGTTGGTTGTTCTTTTGAAAGAAAAAGCTAACATTAAATTAGGTAGAAAGATACTTTAAAAAGTTTTCCTCCTTGATCCATGGCAACATTTCGAACACCACTGGGCTAATGACCAAGTCTACATTAAAAGCAGAAATGTTACTTGAAAAGCCTGCACCTCTGGTTCTATAAAAGCATGCAATTTATTTTGAAGTAAAAAATCAAGACTTTAGTATTTCGAGATTTTCAGAGGATGCTTGCCATTCTTTAGCAAAAAGCTAGGTGATATATGGTAATAAAAAATAATTAGGTACTTCTCCTTTGAGTGATCAATTTAGACAGTGTAGTGAGGTATAATTCTCACTATTGATAATAGGCTGTGTCTACTACTAGCAAAACCTCCTGTTATGTACCCTGAGGAGATGCACGCGTGCGTGCGCGCACACACACACACACACACACACATAGATATAATTTTGTCTGTAGAAACGATCAAATATTACTTTTAAAAGGTTGGAAAAGTCTGGAAACGTGGATGGTGAGGCTGACAACTACATGAAATAACAGAGGGCATAATAAGAGTGAAAAGAACATTGATAAATGTAGCAAGTGACACATCTGCTTAGGTGGGCATATGCATGGCAGGGATTTACTATAAGATGGGGACTACTGAGCCCTTTCCCAGTCATTTTTTCCATCTAAGGAAAACCAACCAGACTAGTTTAGAGACTTCTTATACCTCTGGTGCAGATCCTCCCCACCAGCAAATAATTCTGCCTTGTTTCAGGAGAAGAGCAACCAGCAGATGCAAAGGCTCCAACTCTTCACGCCTGCTGTACCTGTGCCCTACACCACCTCCCTTTGCATGATATGTAGGTGTGACTTGGCATCCTGCCAGCCTTTCTGCCTCTCCCTGGTTCCCATGCTCTCCCACCTGTCATTCAACTATGGATAAGTTTAAACCATGGATAATGGTATACTGCACTCAAGAGCTCAAAAAAATTATCCAATACTCTTCGAGTATAAATAGGGTTCAGCAATTATTTTCTGTAAAGGGCAAGATAGCAAATATTTTAGGCTTTGTGGATATGGCTGGGGCTTAGAATGGCTAGGATGCAAAATGATAGGGTGCTCGCATTCAGCGTGGGGCAAGCGCAGAGTCAGCATGCAGACTGAGCATTTCCTTCAATTCTGTGGCCTAGGTGCTCAATTTGCCTCACTCCAGCCTCCACCCTGTTGGCAGGCTGCACAGTCTTTGTGGTAGCTACTCAACCTGCCAGTCTAGCAGGAAAGCAGCCACAGACAGTAAGTAAATAAATGGGCATGGCTGTGTTCTAGTAAAGCTTTATTTACAAAGACAGCTGGTGGGCCACCCCTGCTATAAATTACATCTTCTTGTGCCTGTATCTTCAACCTCTTTTTTTCTACTATTTTTTTACTACATATATTCAAGCAGCTACTTCTTAAAAAAAATAAATAACCCTCGACCCACTCTTTTCTTTTCTCCATGGTTTACCCCCTCTCCTTTTGCCACAGTTAAAATTCTCTAAAGTGTTCCCTTTACTTTCTGGCCTATAACTTTCTCACCTACCACTCTTTCCTCACTTCATCCTGTCTAGCTGATACCTCCATTAGATTCTAAAGCAGCTCCCTCTAAGTCATTGCTGTCTTCAGGGTCATTAAATTCAGTGTTTTTGACAGCTCTGTTTCATTTGCCCTTTTGTCATCCTTTAACCCTGATTGCCATTTCCTGAAATGCTCCCTGTCCTTTGCATCTTGGATATACTAACTGGGTTTTTCTCTACCTCTCTGGCTACATTCTTGCCCCTTTTTCTGGCTTATCATCTTCTACCTGGGTTTTCAGTGTGGAAGGTCCTCAGAGCTCAATCTTAACCCTCCTCATCACTCTTGTCTCTCTATGTAAGTAACAGCATGATACCCATAACTTAAACTTCCATCCATACACATTTCACACCTTATTGCTACCTCTAGCTCAGACTCCTTCTTTGAGCACTAACCACTTCTTCCACCTTCTTATCTGGATGTCCCAAAGGCATTTCTTACTCTTCGTCTTCCCTTACAAGGTCTTACTCAGATTTCCAAAAGTTTGCCTGTTCTTCATGTGGGAGAACCAGAAATCTGAGAGTCATCCTTGATACTTCATTCCTTCTTACATCCCATTTTCACTCCATCATCAAATCTTTATCATGTCACTTTCACATTATCTCTTTTTTCCATTCACTTCTCTCCACTTCCACCATCACTCCCACCCTAGTCTAAGGTACCATTATCTTTCTCCTGAACTTTCAAATCAAAAGTCATGCTGTGGCCCAGTACTGTGTGAGCTGGCCCCTTCCTAACCTTCTCAGAAACCACACACTCCCTGGTTCTTTCCTCTCTTCTTATCCTAGAAGTACTACTACTCAATGACAACATTCAATATATGTTCTTTGATAATTTCTGCATAGTGATATCTGATAACTTGACTGTTCTGCTATTTAATATGGAGCAAAATTAAAAGTTGTATGAGCTATTTGTACCTAGTGTTACTTCACAGCTCACATACAGTGACATACCTAGACAGTGAGGAAAATAAAACATGATACAATATGATTTCACCATAAAGAACGGTGCCAGAACTGAACTCTTTCCAGATACACATATGTATGTGGATACATATATGGCATAATCTGAAAATATCCTGGCAAGGGTTGTTGGGGGTACAATCTCCCAGAGTTACATCATAGTAAAACCTATTCCCCATGTGCTCAGTTTAGAAAGCCCATTAATAAAACAAAGTAGCTATTTTTAAAATTACTTAATTTTAAAATTACTTTTGACACAGAAAGAAATTTTCAGAAGTTCTGAAAATTTTAAAAACTCTTTTGGTTGTCAAGAAATATAACTAAGAGAAATTAAGGACTTGGAATTATTCTGTATGAAAATATGTTTTCTGATTAGTGTCAATCTTGAATTAGTTTCCATATGTAAATCAGAAGTCACATGGGCACTGCTTAAGTGGCATGGGGAACATAGGAGTGTCACATGATCCGCTATATATCAAGGCAATTAAATAACATACAGGACATGATTCATTCTGATGAAATCAATTAATATGGTAGCATATCAACCGTTTATGAATCACTATTGGGAGAGCAATTCGATTCTAAAAGGCTGCTTCTGTTTATTTTTAGATTACCTAACTCAGGAGATCATTTAGTTTCCTGTTTTCCTTCTTTTACTCTTGGTTTCAAATGACCATTTTTCACATGTGCAGCTGTTACAAACCCAAATGCTAATATCCAACTGGAAGGAAATTATGTGAATAGATTACATCTGTGCCAGACTGGCACACCCCCCCACCTCATCCTCACACCCTGGTTCCCAGGACATCCATGCAATGACTCCCAGTGTTGACATGGACAGGGCTTTAAGTTCTGAAAAGATGCCATGTAATTAACCTTCACTTAAGCCTAGGTTACTTTGTTTTTAAACATTAAAGCTACTTAATTTTTTTTTTTTTTGGCACGAAGCCTGATATTTCCCCCTTAGTTGGGTGGGTGATACGTCTTTTCTTTGGAACCACCAGGACCTGCCTTCCTCTTCCCACTTAGCTACCTTTGAGGCAGTATAGAACATTTCAGTTTTCACTAAGCCTATGTAAATATGATTTAGTTTAAAAAATCTATAATGGCCCAGTATGTATTGTTCGATTACTTCCCTGGCCCTTCCTTCCATTTTAATTCAAATTCTTGCTTCCTGCTGCTTTGAATATATAATATATGTAAGCAAACATACATCTCCTTCTGTTGAGGGAACATCTCATCATTCTTTTGAGGAACCTCCTGCAAATATGCTCACTCTGCTTAGTCTAGCCAAATGGATACTTTCTGAAAAATCACCTAAAGTCCAGATTAGATGTATTTAAATCCCAATATCAATATCATCACCCTAGAATAAACCAAGTTTAAAAGAGAATACATTACTAATACCAACCTCAGTGATCCCTTTAATATGCTCTATACACATGGAAAATTGCTCTGATCTGGAGACGTAAAAGTGCTCTACTGCAGGAACAGAATGAGCAAAAACTCTAGTTTAAAAGAGCAATGCTGGCTATTAATATTTAGGTCATTACAAAAATAAGGGCACAAACATATCAACAATTAAATATAACACAATTTATCAGACTATAATAGGTAGCTGGACCACCCTTAGCCTTCATTATTCCAGCAGTAGATTCTGCTGTGACAGAACGTGCCCTGGTGAGTATCCTAGTTAATATGGATCAGAGTTCTCATCCTAGAAGTTGCACATTAGATGCTCTTAAAAACACCCATGCCTGAGGTATCCCTGCAGAACAATCAACTCAGACTCCCTGGGGTGGGGGTCTTGGACTTTTTAAAGGTCCACAAGTGATTCTATTGTGTAGTCAGGGGTGGGGATCACTGACACTTTCACCTTCTTTTTTCCAATTTGAGGTAAACATTTGAAATGTCTGAAGATATTTGGGTTGAGGGTGGTGTTACTGGCATCTAATGAGTAGAGGCCAGGGATGCTGCTAAACATCTCACAATCCACAGGATAGCCCCTACTCCAGATAATTATCCAGTCTAAAATGACAATAGTAGCCAGGTTGAGAAACCTCACTCCAAAGGAAGTAAAATAATGGTTTTCCATTCTTTAGAATTCTTCACTTTTTTTAGTCTAAAGAACCAAATGTCATGACTGTTCAAGATATAGGTGTAGAGACTGAGATCAATGGTATGGAATAGCTCTTGTCCAATACTGATCCCAATGCACTTTTTAATACCCTTGGTGTCATCGCCTTCCATTACTTTTAAGGCAGAAATTATATCATTATATAAAAGGACTCCAAGATGAGATGTGTATGGCTGTTCTCATTCAAGACTCATTGACTGTGTCACATAAAATGAAAATAAATGCATACATGGTACCATTTAGCAACCACTTCATAACAGACCATAAAAATAAGCAGCAAAAAGTGCGGTGGCTCACGCCTATAATCCCAGCACTTTGGGAGGCTGAGGCAGGCGGATCATGAGGTCAAGAGTTCAAGACCAGCCTGGCCAGCACGGTGAATTAGCCGGGCATGGTGGTGCGTGCCTGTAATCCCAGCTACTTGGGAGGCTGAGGCAGGAGAATTGCTTGAACCCAGGAGGTGGAGGTTGCAGTGAGCCGAGATTGTGCCAATGCACTCCAGCCTGGGTGACAGAGCAAGACTCTGTCTTGAAAAAAAAAAGGCACAAAAAATTGGACTGCATCAATGGGGCTCAAGTGTCCATTATGTGGGCTCAAAGAATATCAGTTTTAAATGACCATAAATACCTCTGAGAGAGTGGCTAAAGTTTTAGTTCCCTAAATAGACACACAAGGGGACACAAAACAGTATGATGAGAGTAAACAATTCCCAAAACATACGAAGCAAAAGATGAGTAGTATACTGTGATCTAACATAAAAATGCTAAGAATGCATTTGTCAATTTTGGCTTTTGTTGCCATTGCTTTTGGTGTTTTAGACGTGAAGTCCTTGCCCATGCCTATGTCCTGAATAGTATTACCTAGGTTTTCTTTTTTTTTTGAGACGGAGTCTCGCTCTGTCGCCCAGGCTGGAATGCAGTGGCCGGATCTCAGCTCACTGCAAGCTCCGCCTCCTGGGTTTGCGCCATTCTCCTGCCTCAGCCTCCCGAGTAGCTGGGACTACAGGTGCCTGCCACCTTGCCTGGCTAGTTTTTTGTATTTTTTAGTAGAGACGGGGTTTCA